TGTAATGATTAAAGAAAACAGAAATTCCTGGAAAATCTCAGCAGGCCTAGCAGCATGTGTGGAGAGAAAGCAGAGTCATAGCATTGTACAACACTGAAACAAACCCTTCGGCCCAACTCGTCCATGCCAACCAGATATCCGAAATAAATCTAGTCCCATTTTCCAGCATTTGACCCATATCCCTCTAAACTCTTCCTATTCATATACCAATCCAGACGCCTTTAAAATGTTGTAATTGTACCAGCCTCCACCACTTCCTGTAACAGCTCATTCCATACACATACCATCCTCTGTGTGAAAATTTTGACCCTTAGGTCCCTTTTAAATCTTTCCCCTCTCACCTTAAACCTATGCCCTTAAGTTCTGGACTCCCCTTCCCTGGAAAAAAGACCTTGGCTATTCACCCTATCCATGCCCTTCTATGACTTTATAAACTTCTATAAGGTCACCCCTCAGCCTCCGACGCTCCAGGGAAAATAGCCCCAGCCTATTCAGCCTCTCTCTACAGCTGAAACCCTCCAACCCCGGCAATATCCTTTTAAATCTTTACTGAACTCTTTCAAGTTTAACAACATTGCTCCTAAGGAGGGAGACCACAAAAGAATGCAATATTCTTAAAGTAAGTCAACATTTAGAGTTCTTTTTAAAAATTCACAGGTAGGACATGGGCATTACTGGCTGGCCAGTATTTATTGCCCATTCCTAGCTACCTTTGAACTGAGTGGCTTGCTCAGCCAATTAAGAGTCAACCACATTACTGTGGGTCTGGAGTCACATGTCGGCCAGACCAGAAGAGAATGACAGATTTCCTTCCCTGAAAAACATTAGTGAAGAAGGGTCCAGACCCGAAATGTCAGCTTTCCTGCTCCTCGGATGCTGCCAGGCCTGCTGTGTTCATCCAGCTCTACACCTTGTTATCTTATTAGTGAGGCAGATTTTTTTTTCGGAAAATTGACATTGAATTTGTGGTCATTATTAGACTCCAGATTTTTATTACATTCAAATTCCACCCTCTGCCGTGGCCGGATTCAAATCCATGTCCCCAGAACATTAGCTGAGTTTCTGGATTAATACCACTAGGTCATTACCTCCCCAGTGACCCCCCCGTTCTGAAGAAGGGTCACTGAGCTCAAAATGTTAACTCTGCTTTCTCTACACAGCTGCTGCCAAACTTGTTGAGTTTCTCCAGCAAGTTCTGTTTTTGTTTCAGGTTTCCAACATTTGCAGTCCTTTTTTTTTGTTTAGTACCACAATGATTAATCTATTTTAGTGGTGTTGATTAAGGGCACGGTATTGGTTGTCCAGGACACACAAGAACATTGTGATCTTTGCAAACCATTCTGTCTGACTGAGTTAGCATGAGTTCACCAGTTAAGCTGAAAGATGTTAACTTGGACAACACAACGTTCTCTCAGTACTACTTGGAGTTCTTGACCCATGTTATGTGCCATATATTAGGAAGTCTAGGAGTGGAACTTGCTCTCAGGTCATAAGGGTGCAAATTGAATTATGCTATCACTGAGCCAAAACAAGTTTTAATTATATAATGTTTAAAGTCAAGATGCTGTTAGTAATCATCATATTCTCTGCATCTGTCACTGTTGTGCTCACTGATTTACATTAACTCCGAGTTCACTGATTTTAAGATCGGTCTCTTTGTGTTCTTTATGGCCTTAACCCAACCTCTGCAGCCTCCTCCAGCCCTGTAACCCTAGTCTGCCTGTCTTCTACCAAGTCTGACCCTTATGTCCCTCCACTTCCTTCATCCTTTAGGTCCTCCAGACTCCAAGCTCTGGATAAAAACCAAAAGAACTGCGGATGCTATAAATCAGAAACAAAAACAGAAATCTCTGGAAAAGCTGAGCAGGTCTGGCAGTATCTGTGGAGATAAATCAGTTAACATTTCAAGTCGAGTGACCCTTACTCTGTTTGAAGTTTGGGTCACTCAACCTGTAAAGTTAACTCTGATTTATTTCCACAGATGCTGCCGGACCTGCTGAGCATTTCCAGCAATTTCTGTTTTTGTTTCCAAGCTCTGGAATTCCTTCTTTACATCTCTCCAACTTCCGGCTTGAAGAGTCTTCTCAAACCCTACCACTTAGTCACTGATCCTAATATCCTCTTTGGCCCCAGGTAATTTTTTTGTGTGACTACAAAAGATTCCCTCTTGGCTGTACTGTTGCAGTAAGAAATGCGCTGCACATTTATACATTTTTAAGGAATAAACAAGCCGTGCATTCACACTGTTTCCTTTATGATGCACATTCATGCAACAGTCTTAATCATGTTGCAATAGCCAATGTTGCCCAGCAAAGAAGAGCTGGAGGGAATGCTGCTTGCTATGATTTACTATATTAAAGGCACCATATAAATGTAAGTTGTTTGTGACACCAAAAATATTGTTAGAGTATGTTCTATTCTGGTGGTCCAGTTCTGGGTGAATTTCTTCCTGCAATAGACAAAGGGAAGAGACTCAGTTTGCTGGAAGTTGATGAAGAACAGTTGGTGGCAATGCAGGAGGGAGTGAGATGGTTGGGTTAGGAGTTTGGCAGAATGAGGTAGCTGAGAGTCGTTCATTGAATGAGAAATGTGCAATGGAGGAGTGCAGAGTTCTCAAGTCTCTGTAGTAAAATTGCTGCTTAAATTTTCCTTATAATTGCATGGTCTTGATCATCTGCTGTTGGTGGACCCACATTCAGATGACATCTTCAGATTATCACAAAAATTCACGTGCACTTTGTGTCACTGCAACCCCTATATATACCATTGAGTTATACTCCAGCAGTGTGTTTTTTTTTCATCTTGGTTCTCAGGTTTAACTCCCTTGAATGCCCTAGTGAGGGAACATGTTGCTACATTCTGTGCTTTCAATGTCACCTCTATGTTTGGCTTGGAGCAAACGTTATGGCAAGTTTTAAAACGGAGAAAACTACGTTACTTGAAATAACTAAAGTACAGTAGATTACATGTGTTCGCATCCAACAAAAAAAGTAAAACTGTTTAACTATGTGAACAAGTAAATTTTTTTAACAACGAATATAACATGCAAGCTTTAGCATTGTGCCTCAGCACTGTGGTGTAGTTTAGTAGTTTCGTAAAACTTTAATCAGATGTGTATACAGTCTTGCCCTTTCTTTGTTTCCACTAAAACAAACACTTCTTCCATAAATAGATTACTTATAAAAAGATACAGAGATGTGCCTAATGATAAGGAGCTTAGATTATATCTACCACCAAACAGTTTATGTGAAGACTCAATTCCGGTCTGGTCACTGAACCAATGCCCAATATAAACACAATAAGCTTTTATTTTTGAAAAAATAAATTGGACCTCTTTTTTTCCAAACATCTTCCCTTTATCCCCCCTTACTCTCGAGTAATAAAGGAAGAATGTGCCTGCTAATTTTGGGATCTCAAGCAAGCAAAAAACTAACTCAAAATACTGTGGGGCACTGTTAAATTCTGGAAATCTGTAGATCAGATGAATAGGAACTGAAAACAAATGCTCAAAAAATATACATGCAAGTAGCTCTGAGAAAGTGTCGCTGAACCTGAAACATTAACTCTGATTTTTTTTCTTCACTGTTGCTGCCAGACCTGCTGACCTTTTCCAGCAACTTCTATTTTTGTTCCTGATTTACAGCATCTGCAGTTCTTTCGGTTTTTATTTATGCAAGTTGTACCAATTATTTAAAATGATATTAGAAGAGAAACAAACACTAGCTTGAAGGTTATATTACTGGGTTGTAATCCAGAGGCTGGAACTGAAGATGAGTTCAAATACCACCTGGTGAATTTAAAATTGCTTATAGAATCATAGAATTTTATAGTGCAAAAGGAGGTCAACCGAAATAAATTCGGAAACTACAGTAGTTAATGGTGACCATGAAATTACTGGATTGTTGTAAAAATCCCACTGATGTTCTTGAGATTTAGGAAATCTGCCAGCTGATCCATAGGAGACTTCATTGAGCAGAAACTGAACTGGTCTTGCTATATAAACGCCGTGTCTACAACAGCAGGTCAGAGGTAGGAATACTTCAGTGGGTAGCCCACCTCTTGACTCCCTAAAGCCTGTCCACCATCCATAAGGCACAAGTCAAGAGAGTGATGGAATACTCTACACTTGCCTGGATGGTTGCAGCTCCAACAACACTCAAGAAGCTTGACGCTATCCAGGATAAAAAAAAACCTGCGTCAGAAATGGGGGAGAGGGAAGGGAGATCTGAAATACATAGAGAGAGGAGGGATGGGGCTGGGGAAGGTAGTGGGGATGGTGATAGGTGATAGCTGGTAGGCAGTGGTGGGGATTGGTCAGTCAGGTGGGAGGAATGGATAGGTGGGAGAGAAGATGGTCAGGTTGTGTCAAGTCAAGGAGGCGAGGATGAGAGTGAGGGTTGGTCATGGGATGAAGCCAGGGATGGGGAGATTTTGAAACTGGTAAAGTCCACATTTAGGCCATTGGGCTGCAGGCTTCCAAGGCGGAATATGAGGTGCTGCTCCTCCAGTTTCCGGGTGGCATCATTGTGACACTGGAGGAGGCCCAGAATGGACATGTCACCCAGGGAGTGGGAAGGTTCAAGAAGGCAGCTCACCACCAACTTGTCAAGGGCAACTCAGATGGGTAATAAATGATGGCCCAGCCAGCGAGATCTATGCCGTACCGATGAATAAAGGACGCAAAAACTAAAACCTCTTAAACGAGTGGCTTGATATTGCAGTTGTGTAAAATGCTCCAAAATCCCCTAATCCGCATGAACTGCAGCAGCTCAGAAAGATGACTGACAATCTCCTTCACAAGGACAAGAAGTGATGGGCAATAATTGGCTCATAACCCTTGCCTATGATGCCCATGTCTATGAATTTTTTTTTATTTAAAAGCTGGTGGCTGTGGAAATGTATCCCTATCACTGAATAATCAGAAAGAGGGGAGGATGTGAGTTGGGAAACTGTATGCTGAACTGTTCATCCCTTATCCAATGTTATGATTCTCTTTGCAGGGTTATAAATGCCGGTAAAAGTATTTTCAACGAAGATCAGGCGACTTGCCGAACAATCCACCTCAGAAAAGCATTTGACATCGAAGAGGAATGGGTCCTTTTGTGCCCAAACGAAGATACTGTATGTACCTCGCGTAACAACATGGATTTAGTTGAACAGTTTTGTGAAGTGGGTGGGAATGATGGACAAGTCAGACAGACTGTTGGGTTATGTTGGCACAGGCATAAGTTCAAGGAGATGTTAGGAACCCAGTTATAAACCATTATTAAGACAATAGATAAGGAGAAGTAGGCCATTCAGCCCATTGAGTCTGCTCTGCTATTCAATGAGATCATGGCTGATTATCTTCAACTCCACTTTCCTTCCTTTTCCCCATAACCATTGATTCCCTTGGTGATTAAAACCTGCCTATCTCAGCCTTGAACGTGTTTAATCACCCAACCTCAAAAGAGCTCCGCAGTATAGAATTTCACAGATTCAGAATCCTCAGAGAAGAAATTTCTCCTCGTCTCTGGTTTATGTATGTGACCTGTTATTCTGAGATTATGCCCTCTGGTCCTAAACTCTTCCACAAAGGGAAAAAGCCTTTCTGTAACTACCCTGTCAAGTCCCCTAAGAATCTTATATTTTTCAATAATGTTGTTTATTGGAAGAGATGTGATTAATTCCATGGCAACATGGGGGAAGTTTCTGTCCAGTTCCAAGTTGTTATGATGTCTACAGGAACTGTTGTTGTTGTTAAGCTTTAAAAAAAAAGAGGAAATAAAACTTGAAGTCACTGAGACTAAACAGAGGGACAGCATGGTGGCTCAGTGGTTAGCATTACTACCTCACAGCGCCAGGGACCTGGGTTCAGTTCCAGCCTTGGGCAGGAGGGAGGCATTCAGATACCTGGATAATTGGGGCTCATTCTGGGGTAGGTGGGACCTCTACAAACGGGATGGTCTACACCTGAACCAGAGGGGTACCAATATCCTGGGGGGGAAATTTGCTAATGCTCTTCGGGAGGGTTTAAACTAATTCAACAGGGGGATGGGAACCTGAATTGTAGCTCCAGTGTACAGGAGGTTGAGAGTAGTGAGGTCATAAGTAAGGTTTCAAGGTCGCAGGAGTGTACCGGCAGGCAGGAAGGTGGTTTGAAGTGTGTCTACTTCAATGCCAGGAGCATCCGGAATAAGGTACCTGGGACTTCGATGTTGTGGCCATTTTGGAGACATGGATAGAGCAGGGACAGGAATGGTTGTTGCAGTTTCCGGGGTTTAGATGTTTCAGTAAGATCAGGGAAGGTGGTAAAAGAGGGGGAGGTGTGGCATTGTTAGTCAAGGACAGTATTACGGTGGCAGAAAGGACGTTTGATGACAACTCGTCTACTGAGGTAGTATGGGCTGAGGTTACAACCAGGAAAGGAGAGGTCACCCTGTTGGGAGTTTTCTATAGGCCTCTGAAAAATTCCAGAGATGTAGAGGAAAAGATTGCAAAGATGATTCTGGATAGGAGCGAAAGTAACAGGGTAGTTGTTTTGGGGGACTTTAACTTTCCAAATATTGACTGGAAACGCTATAGTTCGAGTACTTCAGATGGGTCAGTTTTTGTCCAATGTGTGCAGGAGGGTTTCCTGACACAGCATGTAGATAGGCCAACAAGAGGCGAGGCCACATTGGATTTGGTACTGGGTAATGAACCAGGCCAGGTGTTAGATTTGGAGGTAGGTGAGCACTTTGGTGATAGTGACCACAATTCGGTTACGTTTACTTTAGCGATGGAAAGGGATCGGTATATACCGCAGGGCAAGAGTTATAGCTGGGGGAAAGGCAATTATGAGGCAATGAGGCAAGATTTAGGATGCATAGGATGGAGAAGGAAACTGCAGGGGCTGGGCACAATTGAAATGTGGAGCTTGTTCAAGGAACAGCTACTGCGTGTCCTTGAGAAGTATGTACCTGTCAGGCAGGGAGGAAGTGGTCGAGCGAGGGAACTGTGGTTTACTAAAGAAGTTGAATCTCTTGTCAAGAGGAAGAAGGAGGCTTATGTAGAGGTGAGGCGTGAAGGCTCAGTTAGGGCGCTTGAGAGTTACAAGTTAGCCCGGAAGGACCTAAAGAGAGAGCTAAGAAGAGCCAGGAGGGGACATGAGAAGTCTTTAGCAGGTAGGATCAAGGAAAACCCTAAAGCTTTCTATAGGTATGTCAGGAATAAAAGAATGACTAGAGTAAGATTGGGGCCGGTCAAGGACAGTAGTGGGAAGTTGTGCGTGGAGTCCGAAGAGATAGGAGAGGCGCTAAATGAATATTTTTCGTCAGTATTCACACAGGAAAAAGACAATGTAGTCGAGGAGAATACTGAGATACAGTCTATTAGACTAGACGGGATTGAGGTTCATGAGGAGGTGTTAGCAATTCTGGAAGGTGTGAAAATAGATAAGTCCCCTGGGCCGGATGGGATTTATCCTAGGATTCTCTGGGAAGCTAGAGAGGAGATTGCAGAGCCTTTGGCTTTGATCTTTATGTCGTCATTGTCTTCAGGAATAGTGCCAGAAGACTGGAGACTAGCAAATGTTGTCCCCTTGTTCAAGAAGGGGAGTAGAGACAACCCTGGTAATTATAGACCAGTGAGCCTTACTTCGGTTGTGGGTAAAGTGTTGGAAAGGATTATAAGAGAAAGGATTTATAATCATCTAGAAAGGAATAATTTGATTAGGGATAGTCAACACGGCTTTGTGAAGGGTAGGTCGTGCCTCTCAAACCTTATTGAGTTCTTCGAGAAGGTGACCAAACAGGTGGATGAGGGTAAAGCGGTTGATGTGGTGTATATGGATTTCAGTAAAGCGTTTGATAAGGTTCCCCTTGGTAGGCTATTGCAGAAAATACGGAGGCATGGGATTGAAGGTAATTTAGCGGTTTGGATCAGAAATTGGCTACCTGTAAGAAGACAGAGGGTGGTGGTTGATGAGAAATGTTCATCCTGGAGTTCAGTTACTAGTGGTGTACCTCAAGGATCTGTTTTGGGGCCACTGCTGTTTGTCATTTTTATAAATGACCTGGATGAGGGCGTAGAAGGATGGGTTAGTAAATTTGCGGATGACACCAAAGTTGGTGGAGTTGTGGATAGTGCGGAAGGATGTTGCAGGTTACAGAGGGACATAGATAAGCTGCAGAGCTGGGCTGAGAGGTGGCAAATGGAGTTTAATGTGGAAAAGTGTGAGGTGATTCACTTTGGAAGGAGTAACAGGAATACAGAGTACTGGGCTAATGGTAAGATTCTTGGTAGTGTGGATGAGCAGAAAGATCTCGGTGTCCATGTGCATAGATCACTGAAAGTTGCCACCCAGGTTGATAGCATTGTTAAGAAGGCGTACAGTATGTTGGGTTTTATTGGTAGAGGGATTGAGTTTCGGAGCCATGAGGTCATGTTGCAGCTGTACAAAACTCTGGTGCAGCCGCACTTGGAGTATTGCGTACAGTTCTGGTCACCGCATTATAGGAAGGATGTGGAAGCATTGGAAAGGGTGCAGAGGAGATTTACCAGGATGTTGCCTGGTATGGAGGGAAGGTCTTCTGAGGAAAGGCTGAGGGTCTTGAGGCTGTTTTCGTTAGAGAGAAGAAGGTTAAGAGGTGACTTGATAGAGACATACAAGATGATCAGAGGATTAGATAGGGTGGACAGTGGGAGCCTTTTTCCTCGGATGGTGGTGGCTAGCACGAGGGGACATAGCTTTAAATTGAGGGGTGATAGATATAGGACAGATGTCAGAGGTAGGTTCTTTATTCAGAGAGTAGTAAGGGCGTGGAATGCCCTGCCTGCAAAAATAGTAGACTCGCCAACTTTAAGGGCATTTAAATGGTCATTGGATAAACATATGGATGATAATGGAATAGTTTAGGTTAGATGGGCTTCAGATTGGTTTCACAGGTCGGCGCAACGTCGAGGGCCGAAGGGCCTGTACTGCGCTGTAATGTTCTATGTTCTATGTTCTATCTGTGTGTGGAGTTTGCATGTTCTCCCTGTGTCTGTGTGGGTTTCCTCCAGGTGCTTTGGTTTCCGCCCACAGTCCAAAGATGTGGATTGGCCATACTAAAATTGCCCGTAGTGTTCAGAAATGTGTAGGTTAAGCGGATTAGCCGTGGGAAATACAGAGGTAGGTTGGGGGGTGTGAGTCTGGGTGGGATACTCTTCAGAGGGTCAGTGTGGACTTGTTGGGCTGAATGGCCTGTTTCCACACTGTAGGGATTCGATGATGATGATGAAGGATCAAGCAAGATTCAGGGCACTGATGACTGGTTCATCAATATGCTTCACCCCTTGCCCAGACCCATCCTTTGGAACAGTAATTGGCTGGAAAGGACTTTTTCTGTGTCCTCCTTCAGTCTGACCCAAAGGTTAGTTCCTCATTTGGGCTGCCACTGGGATTTTGGCAGAAAGCACTGTCAGAATCTGCTGTGGAGGGTGGCAGCCTCTGTTTATTTACGTCCTTTTTAAATACTTTTTTTTTGAGCTTACAATTTAAAAAAAAAACTGATTCTGAGGGCAAAAGGCCTTTAAACTGTAGCCCTGACTGACGTTCTGTTCTCCACATTCACCCCTGTACCCTGTGTTGTCCCAGCCAACAGTCCCATTTAGCTGTTGAGCACCCCCGCCCCCCCATACTACTTTCATTGACCTCCTACCCACCTGATAGCCTCTAAATGCCAACTGGGCAAGCTGAGACAGTGGGGGCAAGATTGAGCAGACTTCTTAGTTCCTGTAACAGCCCTCCCACCACTCCACTTGCATTATATAATTCCCCTTTAGCCTTTGGAGCAGCATAGTGGCTCAATGGTTAGCACTGCTGCCTCGTAGCACCAAGGACCCAGGTTTGATTCCAGTCTTTGGGTGACTATCTGTATGGAGTTTGCAGATTCTCCAGGTGCTCTGGTTTCCTCCCACAGTCTAAGATGTGCAGGTTAAGTGGATTGGCTGTGCTAAATTGCCCAAAATGTCTGGGGATGTGCAGGCTGGGTGGGATAGGGTAAGGGGTTTGGGTCTGGATAGGATGCTCTTTGGAGGGTCGTTGTGGATTCTGGGCCGAATGTCCTGCTTCCACACTGTAGGGATTCTATGAAATAATTTGGTGAAAATTTATTTAAAATCTAAGTTGCAAATCGATGAAAAGGTGTTGGTTTGAGAAATGTTCTCTTTCTTCAGAAAACAGTGCTTTCGTGATGTTTGGCTATAGTTGACACAAGTACTTTTTGCATCTCGGTTATATCATGCCAATGAGCTTTCAGCTGTCTTTGTGTTTGAAATCAAATTTATAGTTCACCTGAGACCATTAAAACAATCTTCCTGATTGGTATTGGTTGAAGATGGCTGACATCAGGTTTGCTTGCGATTGGGTCAAAGCACTTGGTTTATGAAATTCTTCTTCTTCCAAAGCAAGACCAAGGCATCGTGGCCACCTACTGGGGATTGTTTGATGGTCACGGAGGCCCCATGGCAGCATTGCTGGCATCTGAGCATTTACATCACTGCATCAAAGGACAGCTGGAGGAAATCCTGGATATTATCAGCAGCCCCTGCAACATCCCACCCCCATTCCACCTTGAGGGACACAAGAGGACGCAAACTGAAATAAGCTATGGAATCGAGAAGAACATCTGCATCGAGAACCTGGTGAAAGGTGCGTTGGAGATAGCCTTCAAAAACTGCGTGAGTATATGACATTGATCATCTAATTTCCATTCACCTTCTACCCACGTGTTAGCTGACTTATATTGATTCCCAATTAAGCATCGGCTCTGTAATCTTCTCCAGCCTTGCCACCCTCCAAGCTACCTGTACTCCGTCATTTCAGCCCTCTTGAGTGTCCCTGCTTTTTATTTGCTCCACCTTTGCTGTTGAGGTCCTGAGGTCTGAATTCCCTCCCCTTCCTGAAAACCTACATCTTTGACCGGGTTTTTGGTCATTTGCCTTTATCCCTCCTTAATGTGGCTTGACGCCAAATTGTTTTATGTTGTGGACCAGGGCAAACCCCTTTCAAACATATCAAGGAGATAGCCTAGACTCTAACCTTTGTCTTACATAAAAGCAAGGGTAAGGTGCTGCGTTCCAGATGTAATTTAATTAGTCACACTACTTGGCTTTAAGCAAAACACTCTCTTTATTCTTACCCACATTAAAATACAAACAAAAGAAACAAGAATTGGTATAACTTTATCTCTCTTGGAAAAATTAATAGAATAATAGATTATTTAACTGCTAAACAGCAACTGCTCCAATATAGTAACATCCCATAAGTAAGCCCTTGGCAAAGGCAAATTCAGTAAAATAGATTGTTTCCCATGCAACATTTCTCCAGTCCAGGAGAAAAGAACACCAAGAGAAAGCTCTGACAGAGAGACAACTCAAGCTTTTTGCTGTGGCCAAGAGTGATGGATAACAGGTTCCACAACCAACTTCAAAACCCCAGCAACTGAAGGCTAAACTAAAACCGTAATTCTGTGGAAGTCTGACTCCACCCATTCATGCTGCATCTGTTGCTCTAACTTTTTTAAAGAAACCACCCCAGGGCCTCACAAGCTATTTACTTTATTGGCTTGGAACAGGCTGCTTAGTCCCTGTCTCAACTTCTCTTCATTAAAAAACCATGACAAAATACACCTCTTAAAGCCATAGATAGTATTGTCACAGTTTCATAATGTGTTTTGGGACTTTTCTTCCATTAAAGGCTCCAACATTTAGAAACAAGTAATTGTTGATGTTAGTGTTTTCTTTTTGTTGAAACTTCCCATTTCACACATTGAATACCAGCCTAAACACGATCGTTCTGGTTCAGAAAATTGTGTTCCAGAGATTTGAGCAGATATTCTATATTTCCCTCAGTGCAGCGCAGAAGGGGTTGTTGCACTGTCAGAAGTACCATCTTTCCGATCAGATGTTAAACCAAGACTGAGTCTGTCCCTCCCCCTCTTTGAACATACAAAACCCCATTTAACATTTTGAAATAGCATGGGGATGTCCTCCCAGTACCCCTCAAACATCTCCCCAACATCACCCTCCTTCGCTGTCCCCATCTCTGCCTCCATCATCACCATCCCACCTCTCACTCCCTCCCTTTACTACTTCACCAACTCTCCCTCCAAAAGCAATTCACAATCTAATTAATTACTCTTTTTTTTATATGAATCTCTGTTGCTTTGTGGACATACTTGGCAACTGAGTCATGCGTAGTAGGGTCTCAAAACAGACAATGAGAGAAATCAGCAGTGGATCTGACTTGATATTGGTTTAAAGACGAGCGTTCAACAAGAAAACTGGAAGAACTTAGGAACATAAGAGCAGGAGTAGGCCATTCAGCCCCTTGTGCCTGTGCTGCCATTCAGCTGGATCATGGCTGATCTTCTATCTCAATGCCATTTTCTCATTCTATTCCCATATCCATTGATCTGTTTAATATACAGAAATCTGTTGACCTCTATCTTAAATGACTGGAGCTCCTCTGAGCAGAGAATTCCAAAGATTCTGTACCCTTTGAATAAAGAAATTCTTCCTCATCTGTCATAAATGGCCAGTATCTTGTCCTGAGATTTTGTCCCAGGCTCTAAAACCCGCTAAACACACACAGCACGTGCACACAATTTTTAATCTCTAAAGGAATCAAGAATTATGGGGGAAACGCTGAAATGTGGACTTGAGTACAATCAGACCAACCATGATCTCATTGAATGGCAGAGCACACTCAATGGGCTGAGTGGCCTACTTTTGCTCCTATGCCTTATGGAGTTATAGACTCAGAGATATACAGCACGGAAACAGACCCTTCAGTGCAACTACTCATCCATGCTGACCAGGTGTCCTACATAAATCTAGTCTCATTTGCCAACATTTGGCCCATATCCCTCTAAACCCTTCCTATTCATATACCCATCCAGATGCCTTTAAATGTTGTAAATATGCCAGCCTCTACCACTTCCTCTGGCAGCTCATTCCATACATGCAACACACTTTGCAAAAAAAGTTTCCCCTTAAGTCCCTTTTCTATCTTTTCCCTCTCACCTTAAACCTATGCTTTCTAGCTTTGGACTCCTCTACCCTGGGGAAAAAATTTTGCCTATTTACCCTACCCATGCCCCTCATGATTTTATAAACATCTGTAAGATCACCCCTCAGCCTCTGACACTCCAGGGAAAATAGCCCCAGCCTATTCAGCCTCTCCCTATAGCTCAAATCATGTTTTCCAAACATAGACTGGGACTGCCATAGCGTTAAGGGCTTGGATGGAGGGGAATTTATTAAGTGTGCAAAAGAAAATTTCCTGATTCAGTATGTGGATGTACCTACTAGCAAAGGTGTAAAACTTGACCTATTCTTGGGAAATAAGGTCAGACAGGTGGCTGAGGTGTCAGTCGGGGTGCACTTTGGGGCCAGCGACCATAAGTCTATTAGTTTTAAAATAGTTATGGAAAAGGGTAAATGGATCTAAAAGTTAAAGTTCTAAATTGGAGGAAGGCCAATTTTGACAGTACTGGGCAAGGACTTTCAAAAGTTGATTAGGGGCGGATGTTTGCAGGTAAACGGACTGATGGCAAATTGGAAGCCTTCAAAAATGAGATAACGAGAGCCCAGAGACAGTATGTTCCGGTTAGGGTGAGGGGCAAGGCTGGTAAGTGTAGGAAATGCTGGATGACTAAAGAAATTGTGGTTTTGGTCAAGAAAAAGAAGGAAGCATTTGTCAGGTATAGACCACAACGATCGAATGAATCCCTAGAAGAGTATAAAGGCGGTAGGAGTAAACTTAAGAGGGAAATCAGGAAAAAGGGCACATGAAATATCTTTGATAAATAGGGTTAAGGAGAATCCAAAGGGATTCTACAAATATATTAAAGACAAAAAGGTAACTAGGGAGAGAATAGGACCCCTTAAAGATCAGCAAGGCCGCCTACGTGTGGAACCACAGGAGATGGGTGAGATACTAAACACATATTTTGCATGAAACACAAACAAAAGTTGCTGGAAAATCTCAGCAGGTCACAACATCTGTGAGGAGAAATCAAAGTTAACGTTTTGGGTCCGGTGACCCTTCTTCAGAACTGGTGTTTTGCATCAGTGTTTACTGTGGTGAAGGATATGAAAGATATAGAACGTGGCTAAATAAATAGTGACATCTTGAAAAATGTCTCTATAAAGTTCTATAAGATTTTCTATGCTGCAATGAGATCACCCTCATTCTTCTAAACTCTCGAGGATATAGGCCCAATAGCTTCATAGGACAATCTTGTCATCCCAGTAATCCATGAGGTGAATCTGTTTGAACTCCCTCAATGGTCAGTATATCCTTTCTTGGGTAAGGAGATAAAGACCATACATTATACATGCCCTGCTTTGAAATGTGTTATGGAACCCTGATGCGTCCACCTGACCAGGCACATAGAGCCAAGGGTAGAAGAAAAATTAAAATAAATTGAGGGGTGATGCCAAGCTTGGATTATGGATTGGTACCACTGAGGGAATGAAGGAGCTGTGTGTTTTGAAAGAAAGACTTGCATTTATATAGAGCCTTTCATAATCTCACTATGTTTCAATGTGAATCGCAGCCAATGGAATATCTTTGAAGAATAATCATTGTCACAATGTAAAAAATGGGCCAATTTGCACACAGGAAGCTCCCATAAACAGGCATGTGATAATGATTTCCTTTCTGTCTGATGTCAGTTTTGGGATAAATGTTGGCCAGGATATTGGGGATAACTTGCTGCTGGTCTTCAGAATAACCCAGCAGAGATACAGGTGGGAGCTCACTGTAACCTCTCATCTGAAAGACGGCAACACTTCCTCAGTCCTGTGCTGAAGGGTCAGCCAAGTCTTTTATGCTCATATCACCCTCTGATTTTAGAGGCAAGGGTGCTACAATTTGAGCCACTGGTGATAATTAATCAATTTGTGTCTTGTTTTCTTTCTTTCCCCCCCAACACAGGATGAGCTGATTGAGAACTACCAGCGATCCCATAGTCAAGTAGGAGGCTGTACAGCTCTGGCCATTCTCCGTTTGCAGGGAAATTTGTATGTGGCCAATGCTGGAGACAGCAGGTTAGTCCACACCATTATTTGACTTTTTCAACTTCTGCTTTGAGCTGAGTGCGACTGGCTCAATTGTCATTATTTCCACAAAATTTCCACGCTTCCTCTTTTAGGTTTCTGTTGTGTTGCATAATTGTCCCCAGACAAGATCATGCTTTGTGAGCAATCCCAAGTTGTTCATGTTGTTCCGATAGCACCTGGAGAGAACTGGACATCTCCCTTTCCTGTTGGACAGCGTTCAGTCCAATTTTTGCACTTTTCTGTCCTCCCCACTCCTCCGCTCTTCCTTGCCAATTTTCTTCTCCATTTCCCAGGCATCAGCCTTGGATTTATATAAGCGGCAGAAATCCCATCATTTTATCCTAACTTTCTCAGGGACAACAGGTTCGAGTTGCAGCACCTCAAAACGTTGTATGGCATGAACTGGTACAGATGTGAACGTGGGATTGCTGCTTCTTGTTACCCCGGAAGCTTCGTTTTATGCTGTGAGAACATTAAATCACTCCCTTCGGTCCAGTTCCCATAGTAAAACCTCATTCTACTGGGCAACCACCAGGCACAAAGAGAGAAGCAAGCAAGTCTCAAGCTCCATCAGTGCAACTCCTAAGTTTTAAAAATATGCAGCAGTTTGGGACATCTTGCCACTTCATCTTACTTTTCTCCCTGTAAGATCCACAGTACTGATCTTGGCTTGTCATTGTGGAGAGTTGAGAACTAAGTGGCACAAAGGCAACAATACTTTAATTTATAGCAATGGTTTTCAACCAGTGTGCTGTGAAGTTTTGTACAGAGGCAATGAAAATCAGTGTAAAACAAACATTGTTTAATCTTAAACCATACTCTATCTAACCCAAATTACAGCTTGTAAAAGTAACGAAAGTTAGTCATCAAATTAGAAATGACCCCTGAACTGAATGCAGTGTGAGGAACAAATTTAGGGCCACGAGTAATTGCAAATAGTTGAGTTGAGCAGATTTTGCAAATGCGTTCTCAGTGAAGACACTGTATTTTTCCCAATGTAATTGAAACATTAATGCAAATAGTAAATGCAAATAAATGTGACCTTTAAGCAACCAATTCAGCTGAAAAACGTGGGTGTTGCACAGAATTGTTTGTCTCATTGAAGTGTGTCTTGATACTGAAAAGGTTGGGCACTCCTGATTTATAGAGTGTCTTTTAGACTATTTACATGGAGCAATGAAGCAGTGTCCAAGGTTTGCAGTATACACACCAGGATGTAAGCGTTCGACGAACTTGCTTATATTTTGTCACAACACTGTACCAGTCTTGCACTGTGTTTGCTAAATCTTTTGACTATCATGTCTGTTTTCTGTGGGACACAGTGCACTAACTGTTGGTTATCTTTTCTTAAAGAGCAATTATTGTACACAAGAATGAAGTCCGGCCTCTGTCCAATGAATTCACAGCCGTGACTGAGAGACAGAGGATTCAACACCTGGTAAAATAGAACATCTTTGTCTTAGTCCTCCTGAACGTGAGAAGCACAAGCTCTTTTAACTGATTTTTAAAGCAATTATTCAAGCGTATATTTTTACGTTTTTCTAAATAAGAAACCAGTAATGTTGTAGGATATTGTCTTAGTATTTGAGGGGAGTGTATTTTAAATTTGAGACATGGGGGGAATGAGGAGGAAGCACAGTCAGTGAATGATGTAACCCTAAGCAGCTAAATATCCTGCAGCAGCAGAGGGTAATTCTCCCCAAAATAATTGTTATACTATGTATTTAATTGATATCTAATATCCATGGCAGGCACACTCAACTCATTTTAGGCTTTGGGTCATAAGAAATTATGGCATAGGTTCTGATTGAAAAATTATGAAAATTAAGGAGGGAATTTGAAGACTGTGAAGGAAGTTTGGGATCACAGTGTTATATTTACTGAAATAAAACGTACTTTCATTAAATAACGCAACATCTCCTCACAGGCCTTCCTGAAGCCTGAGTTGCTGGGTCAAGAGTTTTCAAGATACGAGGTTCCTCGCAGAGTGAAAAGGAGTGATCTTGGAACAAAAATCTTGTACCGAGATTTCTTCATGTCCGGCTGGTGAGTACTTGTTAAATCATCCACTTTCTGGGAAAATCATCTACACATATCTTCTATGTTTTTAAAATTATATTTACTTGTGTTCCTCCATTAGCTTTATTTCTTCAACTTGCTCTTCCCCTCTATTTGATAACCACATACTCAAAAGCATTCTGTGACTAGGATTTTGTTAAATGGGAGAGGGTTCAGAAGAGATTTACCAGGATGTTGCCAGGTATGCAAAGTTCTAAAGAAAGGCTGAATAGGCTGGAACTTCTTTCACTGGAGCATAGAGGTTGAGTGGTGACCTTATAGAGATATATAAAATCATGACGGGTATAGCTAGGGTTAATAGTAGCTGTCTTTTTGTTAGTATTGGGGATTTCAAGATTAGGGACGACATTTCCAGGGTGAGAGGCAAGAGATTTAAAAAAGACATGAGGAGCAAATTTTTTACACAGACATTCTTTCGTGTGTGGAATGAACACCCTGAGGAAGTGGTGAATGTGAGCACAGTTACAACATTTAAAAAAACGCTTAGGCAAGTACATGAATAGGAAAGGTTTGGAGGGTTATGGGCCAGGAACAGGCAGGTGGGACTAGTTTAGTTTGGGATTCTGATCGGCGTGGACTGGTTGGACCGAAAGGTCTGTTTCCGTGCTGTATGACTCTGTGCCAAGTGTAGACTTGCCTTGCTGGCTGATCTGCCGAAGCTGCTTTTGATTAGTTTGAATGAAGTGAAAATACCTGTCATACACTCTGCCTTTTCAACCCTCACAGTGAATATGTGCCAACTTCTGATCATTCACTGTTAAATACTTTGCCTCAGATTATATTCACCGTGGTAGGTGTCACTATGGTCAATGGCCACACCATATGAAAGATGCTTAATTTAATCTCGCTCCTTGTGTTTACCACATTACCCCATTCTGCTCATTGGTCTGCCTAAAGTATGTCTACATCCCAAGAATAAAGGTTCTTTTTTCCCTCAAACTTGCAAAATTCTTAGTCCTTTCCCAGGAACATACCACTTGGTAACTGTAAAAATAAGTAAACATCTGTTTCAATATTTTCCCACAGGTCATTCTAGAAATATTGTGAATGTCAATGGCCAACCATCCTGATCACAACAGTGTCGCTGCAGTTGATCCGTACTGTTCCTACTATTTTACAGTTATCCAATTTGCAACAATTTACTCAGACTTTTTCACCATGTTTTAAAAAAAAGGACTTGCGTTTATATAGTGCCTTCTTTACAGCCAATGAGGTACTTTTGAAGTGCAGTTGATGTTGCACTATAGGGATTGTAGCAACCAGTTTGTGCACAGTGAGCTCCCACAAACACCAATGTGAAAATTACCACAGGCTCTGTTTAGTGATAAAAAACATAAACAGAAATTGCTGCAAAGGCTCAGCAGGTCTGCCAGCATCTGTAGAGAGAAATCCTCAGAACAGTTCTGAAGGGTCACGTTAACTCTGATTTCTCTCCCCAGATACTGCCAGACCTGCTGAGCTTTTCCAGCAATTTCCATTTTTGTTTTGGATTTACGGCATCCGCAGTTCTTTCAGTCTCTGTTTAGTGATATTGTGTTGAGGAGTAAATATTGGCAAGGATCCACCTGTTCTTCTTCAAGGTAGAACTATAGGATGCTTTACAACCCCCTGATAAGGTGAGATTGGGCATCTCACTGGAAAGGCAGCCCATCCTTCAGCACTATGCTGGAGTCACTCACCCTGGTGTCTTGAATGCAACTTAAACCCACAACATTGGAGGAGAAATGGTACTAACTGAGCCACAGCTGATACACATTTCCGTAATATTACACACAGCATGTCATCAACACTTTTGTCACGTCAGCATTGACAGCCTTGGTTTATAAACCCACAGTGGCCTAGGATTATTGGCCTCAGTCTTGTTCTGTGTTTCTAGGGGATACAAAACTGCAGAAGAAGATGACCTCAAGTACCCTGTCGTGCATGGGGATGGAAGACAGGTACACCTTCGGGAAATCACTCCGCATGCTGTGTAATTTTAAAAAGAGACAGCACAGTCCAATTAGTACTATAGAACCCAGTGTGATGTTACAGCCGCCATCATGCCTAGCAATGAAAATCGATTGTCATCATTATATTACGACTTGAGTCGGCTGTTAACAATTGCACGATATAGTCGGTTTACTCTTATGATCAGAAGCATCAAAACTAGAGCAGATGCAGCATCTGCAGCAGCAGAAACTCTCATTAGAGAGCATTGAGCTGAAGCTTAGGAATCAGTCTTTCAATCTCTCAAACAGCTTTGCCATTCTATTAGATTATGAATAGTCTACTCCATTGCTCCACATCCTTTGACACCTTCACTAAACAACGATTATTCAATGTGCTGTCTGAAAGTCCTTTTTGGACATTGCAACATTAGCAACTTCAAGCCAGTTCCTTTTCTGGAGTGAAAGACATAGGGTGCAATTTTCCTCTCCCTAGATGTGGTGAGAAGGGCATAAAAATTGTTTGCCTAATGTAACCATCCCTGATTGTTGTAAGAATTCATCTAATTCACTAATTTTCTTTACGGATGGAAATCTGTCAACCTTACCTGGTCTGACTCCAGACCCACAACAATGTGGTTGACTCTTAACTGCCTGATCGGCAAAAAATGCTGACCTAGCCATTGATGCCTACATATTGTGGATGAATAAAACAAAATAAACAAATAACCAGGTGAGTTGTCTCTGGACAAGTACTCCTCCACTTCTTGTTACTGTAACAGTTAAGTGCTGGGTGGGAAGTTCCATGGACGACCTTCTGGACTCATCAGAGATTGTGGCCAATTAACAGCCACTTGAGAGCATGAACTTGCCATTGACCAGGTATCTACTGAAATAGCTGCATGGATGCCCCCTGTCACCAGTCACCCTTTATTTACATGGGCTCTTACCAGCCAGTCCTACGACTGAGGAGACCTTCTAAATCTCCTGTCAGCCAGGGCTCCCTGATTGGTCTAGGTTAACAAGCCTTAATCAAGCATCCATGGTCAACGAGATCCATCTGGCCCTGGTTCCAGTCTCTATACCTGCCTTCCCAGCAGGCAAGAGAAGTGGCTGGTTTCCTGATGAGGGGTCAAGCCCTTGACAGTCTTGAGTCTGTTGCTGGATCAGCAGGAACACTGACAGAAATTTTCATCCTTGAGGTTGGGATTTTCCATTTAGCAACCAAAATGATAAATGCGGGATAGTTCATTTCCATCACCCACCCCCAACAACTGCCCCTGTCTCTGACAACCCTGTCCCTGCATACCCCACCCCCTTCAAGACCCAAAAGGATTTGGATCGCCTTTGGATCCTCTGAAGACAAGGTCTACAATGACAATCTCTAGGACTCGAGGCTTCTGAAGAGGCTGGTTTTGGATACCAAGACCTGCAATTTGCTGAGAAACCTGCCAGTCAGCTCTTGCCAAACTTCTTAGTTGGTGTGGTGAGATCATCACCATTCAATTTGCCTGTACCCAACACGTTGGCTGCAATACAGAAAGGGTGAAAATGCTTGATGTATGTATGTTTACCAGCAGCAGCCTCAAGACCATTGGCTACAAATCGGGGTTCAAGCATTGAGTATATGGGACTAAGTGGAGCAGAAACCCAAGATCAGCCAAGTTTCAATTGAATATTGCAGTAGGCTAGATGGGCTGAATGGTCTACTCCTATTTTATACATCCTTGACTGACTGACTGATCTCAGTGTGGAGAGGTTGGAGAAGAATAGTTGCCATTAGCTGGTGTGGTAGGAGTGTAATTCCTCTTCCCAATTGCTATTCATTGGTGACTGCTGAGGTAGGGGAAGATGGTAGCAAAGTGGTAATGTCACTGGGTTAGTAATCCTCAGGACCCACAGATGAATGAGAGTTCAAATCCTGCTGTGGTAGCTGATGGAGTTTAAGTTCAACTAATAAGTCTGTAGCAGAATTGGTAACCGCAAAACAATCAACTACCAATTGGTTCACAACTGTCCTTTAGTGAAGGAAATCTGTCATCCGTACCTGGTCTGGTTTATAGACCCACAGCAACGTGGTTGACTCCTCATTACCCTCTGAAATGACCTAGTGAGTCATTAAGTTGCAAGGTAATTAGGGATGGTCAACAAATGCCAATGATGCCCATGTCCCAAGAAATAATTTTTTAAAAACTCTGGATGTGTATAAACCTTATTTGAACAGAGTATTGGGCTTGTCTACAGTGTTCTCCTTCATTCCTATCAAATCTCTTTGGAATGCAGACACTTGACCATTAAATGCCTTTTATCTTTCAAAATCCCAATTTAGATGGGCATGAAAGTGATTACATTTCTCACAACACTGGTGATTCATTCTGACAGTCTCCATGAGAAAGATTTTATTTTCCATTTCAGACACGAGTGATGGGGATGATTGCAGTCACGCGAGGCTTTGGAGACCATGGATTGAAGGCTTATGACACTGACCTCTATGTAAAACCATTTTTGTCCTGTATTCCAGAGGTAGGTATATCAGAGAAACAGCAAAGCCTTTTACAGCTCTTACCTCAGTCCCTGTATTGTTCACAGACCGTGCATGTAAACAGAAAATTCTTCACTTGCTGTGTTTGTATCTCGACTGTCCTTTGCTGAACTCACCTTTCAATAATGAAGTGAATCTTTCAAACAATTAAATGAGTATCCGTTCCATTTCTAAGCTTTAAGAAAAGAAAGCTAGGGTCCTTGTCACAGTTAAAATGCCACGGAGGCTGAGGGGTACTCACTACTCACTTGAGTGATATTGAAGAGATAATTTGTAGTGGTATTGGAGGAAGGTCAATATCAGACTAGGATGAAGAATCAAGAATGGCTAAACAGGTTAAGTCTTTACTTATTGGAGTATAGATATAGGGATCAAGGGATATGGGAAGAGGGGAAGATTAGGGTATTGAGCTTGATGATTAGCCATGGTCATATTGAATAGAGCAGGCTTGAGGGGTTGAAAGGCCTACTCCTGCTCCTAACTTCTATCTTTCTAGTCTGAGGGGTCTTGACATATTCTGAGGAAGGGTCACTTGACCCAAAACATTAACTTTGACTTCTCTCCACAGATGCTGCCAGACATGCTGAGCTTTTCCAGCAATTACATCCAACCGAACAGGCAGATTGGGCCAAAAACAAATACTGCAGATTCTGGAGATTGGAAATATTTAACATGTCTCACTGCATCTTGGGAATGGGAAATCCAGTTAACATAGAAGAATCAGAAGAATAGAATCCATACAGTATGGAAACAGGCCATCCGGCCCATAGAGTCCACACCGACCCTCTGAAGAACCATCCCCTTCCACTTTCCCTGTAACTCTGCATTTCCCATGGCTAACACACCTAACCTACACATCCCTGAACACTATGGGCAATTTAGCATGACCAATTCACCTAGCCTGCAGATCTTTGGACTGTGGGAGTAAACTGTAGCATCCAGCAGAAACCCACGCAGACATGGACAGAATGTGCAAACTCCACACAGACAGTCACCCAAGGGTGGGATCAAACCTGGGTCCCTGGTGGTGTGAGCCACCATGCTGCCCTTAACTTTCCAGATCTTTCATCAACCTTGAAACATTAACTCTGTTTCCCTGTCCTCCGATGTTGCCAGACCTGCTATGTTTCTCTAGAACTTTCTGTACCTTTCCCAGGTGGCTAGGGTTTCAGTTTGACGTCTCATCTGAAAGACAGCACCACGAGCAGTGTCGCAGTCCAGTCCACTCCCATTGTTCGTGAAGTCTGAAGAGCAAATGTTATTCCACACAAACTATTTTTGATAGGTTCATAACTATAACAGAAATGTCAGATGCATATTGTGATCATTGTACAACGTAGGTTCACAAGGCTGATATCGGAGATGACAGGATTGTCCTTTGAGGAAAGATGGGTTCAAGTGAGCCTGTATTTAGTAGAGTTTAGAAGGTTGAAAGAGGCTCTGATTGAAACATAAAATTCGAACAGGGCTGTATAGACGAGATACCTAGAGGGTGTATCCCCTGGTTGGGGAGTCTAGATCTAAGGGTCAGAGGCTCAGGAGATGGGGTAGGCCATTTATGACAAATGAGGAAACTTTTCTTCACTGACTGTGGTCAACCTGGCAAATTTATAACCACAGAAGGTTGTGAAGGCCAGGTAACTGACTATATTCAAGAAATAGATTTCATTTTTGTTCAGATAATAAAGGCATCAAGGGGTATGGAGAGAAGGCAGGAATACAGCATTGATATTGAGGATCAGCCATGATCATATTCAAAAGACAGAGCAGGCTCAAAGAGCCAGATGGCCTACTCCTCATTTCTGTTTTTTTTTGCTCTTTCATCACAACTTCCTTTTTCTTGCAAAGGTTACAGTCTTCAACCTGGGACAACATAAGTTTGACCAAAGTGATGTTCTTATAATGGCCACTGATGGATTATGGGATATTATCTCCAATAAGGAAGTAGCAGAGACCAGCCAGAAATTTTTGGAAGACCAGAAACATAATCCACGCAGGTAAAGGATACTCATTGTTCGTGTTGTCACTTGTTCCCACTGCATTGATGATATAAAAATATGATGGTCAGACACTTCACTCTTGTACGTGCTAAACAATGGTGAAGTTCAGATGTAAAATTAATCGACTGCCTTCCCCACCCTACAACTCCCCGTGCATCAGTTTGCAAAAGCTGTACGCACACAAGTTAAGCCATACAAGCCGAAAAAGCTTCTGTTCACTTACCTGCCACGAGATTGCAGCTTCAGGAGTCCCACTCTGTATGCAGGTCATTCTTTTTGCCTACCATACCAGAAATATTCACAGGTTGACATTCAACCTGTTTGGCACATTATTTACGCACCTTCCGTGACCAACGTGTCCTAACATGGGACTAAAACACAGAGCTTCTGGGCTCAGTAACAGGAGCGCTAGCCATTGTGCCCAAAGATCCAGAAGTGTATATAACCCATCTTTATTTCTGTAGGTACACACTGTTGGCCCAGTGTCTTGTGAATAAAGCAAGAGGTACACAAGAAGAAAATGACTGGAAACTGGAAGATGGCAGCTTTGCCTCATTTGATGACATATCCGTATTTGTGATCCCCCTGCATAATTTAGGGGGAGTAGTATAAGTTCTCATTTGAAGAACACTGGAAGGTCTCCATAGCTGACAATGGTGGTGTGCTCAAAAAAGGACTTGAGGACTACTGCAGATCAATGAGAAGAACATCCTGTCAATCCACTCCTTTTCCATGAGCAATATTACATTATTCATGAGAACCTACGCCAGGGATAATGGCCCGTTTAGTGCTGCCACTTGATGTTTTGCCACCGACCGGGACTGTTTAGTGAAACTTCGCTAAGACAGCAGTGTGCGGTAGCGGGTTTCACCGGAGTGATGGGAACTGTTCCCAATCCAAAAGGGGAAATATTGTTGGATTCCTGTATACCTGCTGGGATCCCAGCTTAAGTCACATTCTGTTAATGTTGTGGCAGAGAGGTTCTATCAGATATTCAACACAAATACAAAATGATGACTTCTTTGTTTTTAAAAAGAATTACCTTGATTTTAAGCAACATTTTAAATCAGAGGATAACAAATAAATTAGTCAAAATAGCTTTAGATGGTGTAGAGTGAAAAAGGGGAAACGCCCAACTGTAGTTAGAGAAAATATTTAATAACGTGCTTTTGTTTTATAATTTTCATGTATCCATCTCAATGCCATCTTTTCATATCCATATTTAGTTCTATGTATAAATATTGAAGAGTAGTTAATTTTCTTAAAAGAAGAAAACAAGGATTGAAGAAAACATATTGATGATTATTACCATCAAGACTTCTAGAAGATTTGCCACTAGTAATAGTTGCACGAACTTACAATAGCAGCTGAAATCTACAGAGGATATTTTAGCTGTGTTACTGAAACAGCTCCAGTGAAAGCAAAGGTTACTTTATGACCACTTGGAAACGTTGAGCACCCCATTGAACTGTTAAGCACTTTATTTTTATGTTCTTAAAATTAAAATGTTCCAATAGGAACTTGAGGCAGAAAAACAAACATGTACCTCACCGAGATATGAAGAGCATGAGAGACTGGGGTTTCTCCAGGGAATTCCTACATTATCTGTGTGACTGAAA